ATTTCGCCGACTGCAATTCGCTTCAATTGGTCACCATTCAACTTAGACTGTGAACAATCATTGGTACACAGTTTACTAATTTGAAAATTTTTTCTTAACAGGGCCGTTACCATGGTAACTGTACAGTCTTCAATGAGAAGAGTGAAGAAATGATGTGTGTTACAGCGGACTGTACTTTGAACTAGTTACAATACAATTCATCTCGCAAAGCTGTTTAATCATATAAATTGATGTGAAGAATTTCACAGTAGCAAGTTTTTTTGTTTCGTAATATTGTGTATACTCAGATTACAGTAATAAACTATGTGAATGTCAATGAAGCAAGCAATGTACCAACTAATCAGCAAATAGGTCTTTTGTGCGACATAGATGCATTAAAATGATGTCATTCAAGGCAACATATGTTTGGTTGAGTAGTTTTTTTTTACTGCTAGACAACAGTCAAACAACTTTGCAACTGTCACTGTATTAGAAGCTGCATCTCTAATCTAATAGAAGCCACACCAACCTTTAAACAAATGAAAACAAAAAACACGTATTTATAATTCTCATACATTTATATGTTCCAATAGAGGTTGCATCCCACCATAGAAGTCACTTCTAATACAGATTTTACTTGTTTACATGGAATTTGAAGGATTCCTGCATCTTTACATTATGCACATTGTTAAGCTATTAAACACTCGTCATGTAGAATGTTATTTTCAAAAACGTAAATTTTTTTGCTAATCTATTTTTGTAGATCTTTATGCATAATCAGAACTGAAAGTGACAAATGTATTCGAGCAGTGCTCGGATAGAATAAATGGCTCTCAATAAATGTAATGCGATTTTTTTTTGTCAGCCAACTACTCTTGCAATGAAGCCGTTTGAGTCAGACAGATTTTTGTAGGAAATTTAGATCAACTATGATGAAAATTTGCATTTGTAGCATTTCGGTATGTTGAATTTGTATTCCACAAATGAGGGAAGCTGACGATGGTATAACAACCTAAAGTCGACTGAGGGTTCAATTGTGTAGACCATTCAAGTGTGAATTCAAAACAAAAAATATAGACCTATGAGGTAAATTGTTTTTTATTATATTAAAAAAAATCATTTGTGTTCTTGAAACAGCATAATTATTTTTCTTGAAAATATTAAATCAATATATTACAAGAATATTATTTCTGCACATAAATTGTACAAACCCAAAATATGGATATTGCATACAGGTCCAGGTAGCAAGAAAGTTCTATACTGAAAGTACTGAATTACATTGATGTACATAGTTTTTATAAAACAGCTTAAGTTGAGAAAAGGGCAATATCTCTTGAAAAAAAAAAGATATTGGTACATGTAGCCACAAGACCAAAACTATTTTCAGGTTTTGGGCACCTGCTTTTGATGCATTTCATGAGGTAGGCAAATTAATCCTAAAAAAATACATCAGTAAAACCACTTTGAAATTTAAATTTACATGACTATTTACATGATATATAAATATCAAAGAAAATGTGACATACAATGCTGAAGTTGAGAAAACTTTACAACCATGTATCACCACTACCATGTATGGTATATCATTTGATATAAAAGCAATAGTGCTCACATAAAAGAATGTACCCAAGAAATTCCACTTAATCTCAGTGCTGCATCTAACGAGTCACTACAGCAGATTAAGAATTTTTGGAGCTACGAGAGACCACAGTACTTCACACAACACTATTTGTGCAAAATTAAGCATTTCAACCTGAATTTGAAAAACAGTAGAAAATAAATCAAGTCATGTCTAAAGGGAAATAACCAAGATACATTTAGAAAAGAATAAATAAGATGTCTTGGTCACAACTGAATGTGCCCAGTTGGATTTCCCTGCAGCATAAATTGATTCTGGGAGACATGATTTGTATATACATTCCAGATAATTGGAAAGTAACATCCCAAGTGACTAGTCATATATACACACACACAAACACACACTTCCATTTTAGACATAGAAGTTTGTAACGAGTTGTACAATAAATCGCATGGTAAGTACGTCAAGTACTGGTGGTGTAATCTGCTGTACGCATACTAACCAAGTACTAGAATATCATCAAAAACATATGCAACTTTAAAAAGACTTTCACCTACAGATGCCTGTTTTGAATTGTGAATACAAGCACAGGCAATTAAGAATATAATTTGTCGTACGATAAAAAGTCCAATCATGATTTATTTTTCCTTTCTTTAAAAAAATGTGTTATGGTATCAAAGAGGAGATTCAAGGTTCTCCGCTTTCGTTGCAATATTTTCTAAATTATGTTTAATGCCTTTAACTCCTTTGGCCAAGTCTTTGACCTCTGTGTTGATTTTTCCTATCACCCATTCCATAGCAACTCTACCCTGAAAGTAAAAATATTTCAAAATATTAGTTTTCATAAAAAGAGAAGCAGATATGGGTATGCCAATAACTATATACAAACAAATCCTCTGAAGGATACATACATGCATAAAAGCACACAAACAGGACCAATACACTAACTAGTCCATTTTTGTTCATATGTCCAAACAAATGTTAATTAAGACAAAAGAGCTCCCAGCTATGATTTGTCTGTCTGAGAACACAACCATTCATCCATTAATTAAACAATGAAAAAATATCAGATGAGAAAGTTATTGTCACATCTGAATTTCCTGGCAGGTGGTTGAAAATATAGATAATTTTTCTTGATAAAAAAGGAGGGATCTAACTAATAGAGGGAAGGGACTCAAACTGATGATAGGAGAATTAAAAATCATGTAATAAATACTAGTGAAAAGCTTGAATATCAAACATATTAGATGCAAGAGAATCAACAAATCTTTGTGTGAAAATGTAATTTTTATTCAAGCAGGAGAGTCAGGAACTTTTGAAAAATTTGTCCTTGCAAGCCTTATGACCATCAAATAAAATGTTCTGACTATGACTGGATACTGTACTAGTATACTATAATACATGTACATAGCTCTCCCATTAGAAATCAAAATATCATTGGGAAACATGTTTGCATACCTGTGTAGCTTTTGATGAACATGTATTCACAACAAGTTGTTCTAAGTAGCTAGATAATCTCATGCCATGGACAGTGATAATTGCTTCTTGTTTCAACAATGTTCTGAAAAGTAGAAAGGTAAAATTATTTGCATGTACAAATCATTAAACACAGCTTTTTGTTGCACCAAGTGAAATTGTATTGAATATACAAGCATGGTACTCACGATTTTTTGTCGGTAGGGTGTGGTGAATAGGTTAATTGTTCGTTGATTGCTACTAAATTACTGAATGTGACCTGAAAAAAAAAAAATACTTATTAAAATGCATACACAATAAGAATGAAGGTATGAATACGAGAGAGAACACTTGTGACAATACAATATTTTTTATGTTGAGTCAGGGATCTCGCCAGCCCAACACGAGTGCCGATCGGTCATGAATATTAATGAGCTATATGAATATTAATTATCAATGAATATTAATGAGTTCGGTCGCAGTGCAAATATTTTTGGAATTAAGACATGTTTCACAATTTAGAAGTATTCGAAATGCGAATGCTGCAGACTAAAAAACAGAAACAAATTATTGTTGCAATATTAATGTCTATTGTAAAAAGTTAAATAAAACACATTTGAAACATTTCAGCCAGGAATATTTTCACGATCTCATTTACTCCAAATACATTCCCCTTCAAAAAATCGACCACGTAATTATTTGGAGTATTGTTGTAATTTATTATTCGTACCATCAATTTCTAAAATGTATATATTCACAGTAATGAACGAACAAATAAAAATTCTGAAGCTTCAAAGTTACGACGTGACATAACTTACTTAGCGATATTGTACACCAATTTTACCAATTACTCCTCTTACTCAGTCATGATGCCAAGCAAAAAATAAGAAATAAAAGTAAAATTTGACTTAGTTTTATCGGGAGTGGATATTTTTGATCACTCAATCGCTTTGGTAAAAAACCCAGCCCGCCATGATGTTTGTGACGTATTAGTTGACCAGCATGTGTCCTTTGACCCGATGGGTCAATAATTCCAATAACCAATCAGAATGGTGCATGGTAATGCCGGTAGAATCCAAAGTTTTCCGAATGGTAGTGATCATAAAAATTACATTGCGAAAGTAAAGCGATGTCGAAGCACGATGTGTTGACATTGATTTCAGTTGAATACTGCACGATGGTTGTCGAAAGAGGTGATTAGCAATTTTTAAAAGGTAAAATAGGTCTTGAAGAAGAGTTTTTACATGAATCGCGATGATAACAGTTCAAATGTATTTTACCAAATCATGCAATAAACACGTTGATTTTTTTCTTGAGTAGCGCAAACTGTCAGAATGTGAACTCCGCTTTGACCATGTTATATCGTAGTGAAATTGATTTTGAAAGAATTTTAGCTTTCAATCTAAAGACTGTGTCTATCAAAGAAAGTTTTTACTTATGAACAGAGGTGCTAATTTCACAAAATTGACTAGCAGCTACGCATCGTGCGACTAGGTCTATTGTTTACAAATTATGATCCACGACTGGCAGGATGCGTGTCAGCAGGTACATGTACATAATTATAATAACAATCGGACAATAGTCCTGGTTGGAAGCATCTCTGTGGTGGTCGCTAATTTTGAGTGCTGGTCGGGCAGACCACTGCCGACCAGCGTGGCGAGATGCCTGATATACAATACTACTTTGTTTTGACCTAGGATAAAAAAAAATGCTCTTTCAACATCAGCATCTACATTGCAATCTTGACTGAGATAAAGTCTGATAAGTTTCTAGTACAATACACAAAACATGTAAACACCAATGTGTACTCAAAGTGACTTGGCTGAGAAGGGCTGCAATGATCCTGTTGCTGAATGTACTATTCTTAGTATTCGGAACTTACATTGTTTGTACGTAATACAAAAGTTTTTCTTTTCCTGTCTACAACTGAGTGTTCACTTGCATAGCATGCTCTGTCGACACCAACCAACTGAAAAATAAACATAAATATGAACTGTTACTTTATTTTCAAATATTCTGCATTTCCATGAAGTTCTAGCATTCAAGCTTGGTAAAACAAGCACATTTTGCATAAAATAATCTATTGATTTCTGTCAGATTTGGGGTGTACACAGTAATTTCATGAAGATTTGAATATTTTTTACAAATGTTTTATATTGAAAAGATCACAGAAGCCAATTTCCCTTCTAATAATCTTATTTATTGATAAATTAAACAAGCCGCTGAGAATGTCACAGCCCTATCTGTACATTAATGCATGAGAAATGAAATATCAGCATTTATATACTCTTTTTTTTGATCAAGTGCATGTACCAGTTTTACACTGAACTAATGTTTTGGACTGCCCAAGTCTAATGTCTATGTTGGCAAAAAGTAAAAGTAAATTATAGTGCACTGTGGGACAGCCAGGTCAGATAATGGGAGCAGACATGCTTTATGATTGGTGGAGTTGGTTTGATTTGGTCATAACTATCCCACAATACACTATGATTTGAAATTTTGATATGGTCTATGGCTGAGAGGAAATCATTTGATTGTGTGATGGCACAAATCAACTGATGATATGCTAAAACAATGTCTGAATCGTCTTGAAGTTTAAACCAAACTGGACAGCTTAAATTTGGGATACAAACAGAAATTTCCAAAAAAAAGAAAAAAAGGCGACCAACTTGGATTGGATTACAACACAAATTAACTTTTCGTGTTGTGCTAGTACAGTATTTTTTCAAGTGCACGAATTAATAGCGTCAAAACGGAAATTACTGGTTTTTGGTGCGCGAATTAAACGAGTACTTTTAGATCGATTCAAAAAGGAACTGTTTTCATAAATTTATTAGTGATTTGTTTTGTTTTCCAATGAACACGATTACGGGACGTTTTTTTAGTGCCTCTGAGACTCATGGCTAGCGACATTCATGGCGTATAGTCGGACAGAAAACACGCACTGCGTCAAGGACCACGCACAATGTTACACTTGAAATGAAACAGTGAAAAATGGCAAAGGTCACTCTGTACACAAACAAACAATGAACACTTGCTACAAAGTAGCCGTCTGGCTGCACTGCCTTTTTTTATTTTTCTAGGCATCGCCCGGGCGATGTTATGGCAGATATTACGAAGCCCATCTTGTCTGGAAAAATAACTCTGCGTTAATAAAATCGGTCTCAGAAAATGTTTAGAAAAAATAATGTTTAGCATTGACCAAATATAATCATGCAAAGTATAAATTCAAAGTGTTTTAATACATTGGTGAGAGGTCGCATTTTACGTGAACAAGAAGGAAAAGCAGGCCAAAGTCGAAACGGGGTGCATCATGGACATGA